AATAAGATAAAAAAAGACATAATAAAACATAATAAATATAAATTATAAATAAAATAATATTAATTACTATTAAGATTTATGTAAAATATTTAGAAAAAGATAAAGAAAAAAAATCAACTTTATGTTCATAAATTTGTTGAAAAGATTGAAAAAAAATTTGATGGGAGAGATTAAGAAAATGTGAAAAACTGAAAGGTAAGAGAGAAAATAATGTAATAAATTAATTAATATAAAATATTAAAAAAAAAATTAAAAAGTGGGTAAAAGAAAAATAAAAAATGACCTTATATGTAATAGAAAAAAAGGAAATATTTTTAAAATATTAATATATTAAAATTTAAATTTAAATATAAAGTCGGGGCGTGGACGAGATAGGGGTAGGGACTACATTACCCATCACCGCTTTCGCCCTCGCCCTCGACTTTTTAAAGCGGAGAAAACCCGAACATGTCCTCATCCCTGGTCAACTACAATTTTTCCCGTCAAACTCGGAGCGGGGACGAGTCTAGTGGCGGATCTTGACCATTAATTTTGGAGGGGTCAAATAATATATTATTAATAAATAATAAATAAATATAAAAGGGTAAAAGATGATGAAAGGGTGAGAGAATAAAATTGCAAATGTATAAATAAATATATTAAATTATCATTAAGTTTGAGGGGACAAAATCATAAATTATATAAGAGTTATGAGTGATGAAAAGATAAAATTATAAATATACAAGTAAATATATTAAATGATCATTAAGTTTGGGGGACCTCGACCCCCCTCAGCTCCCAAGAAGACGGGTCGGTCTCTACGGGTACGAGTTTAATTGTTATCTCTAATTTAGATAGAGATTCAATGATTGCATTGAAAACTCTAGCATAAGCAGATTGCTTTTGCATCCTCAAAGATAATTTCTTTGAAAAACTTATGCTTGAACTTAAAGCATCTGTCTCTAACACAAAAGGTTTAGCAAAATTGGGAATGGCTAGCACATGAACAGTTATAAGAGCTAACTTCAAATCTTCAAAAGCCTTTTTCTACTGATATAAACCATTTGAAGGAATCTTGCTTCAGTAGGTTTGTGAGTGATGCAGCAATATGCACATAACCTTTTACAAAACATCTATAATACCTTGTTAACCCTAAAAATCCCCTTAGTTGTTTCAAGGTTGTAGGCTTAGGCCACTTGTTAACTGCTTCAAGTTTCTCAGTGTCCATTGCGACTCCATCTCTTGACAATGTGTGGCCTCCAATCTGTTTGACTCCAAATGTACACTTGGAAAATTTAGCAAGGAGCTAGTTCTGTTTTAGAATATTAAACACTATCTCAAGATGTTGTAGGTGATCCTTCCGATTAATGTTATACACTAAAATGTCATAAAAAAATACTAACACAAACTTCCTCAAGAAACCATTGAAAAATTGATTCATTAAGCTTTGAAAGGTTGTAGGTGCATTAGACAACCCAAATGTCATTAGCAACCACTCATACAAACCTTGATGAGTTCTAAAAGTAGTTTTATGTCTATCATCCCGATTTAACAGGATTCAGTGATAGTCGAATCTTAAATCAAGTTTTGAGAAGTAGCAAGCTTCATACAACTCATCAATTAGTTCATCCACTGTAAGAATAGGAAAATTATCCTTGATAGTGATGACATTTAGTGCTCTATAGTCAGTGCATACCCTCCAAGTCCCATATTTCTTCTTGACCAGAATAACTGGAGAAGAGAATGGACTACTGCTAGGTTGGATGATACCCTCTTGCATTATGCCTTTAACTAGCTTTTCAATTTCCTCTTTCTGGTTGTGAGGATATCTGTATGGCTTCACTTTGATTGGGTTTGGCCCTTATAACAGTGGAATTGAATGGACATGAGATATGGATGGAGGTAAACCACTAGAAGTACTAAAGACTATGTTGTAAGTATGTAATAAGAGGGCTAATCCTGGTTCCATGTCATTAGGCAATTCTAACAATGGAAATGAGTGAGTATCTTCCTTTATAACTTGCATGTTATACACTTCAACAATGACATCCGTATTCACCATTCTCCTGATATGATGTAATTAAGTTGTGGTAAGTAAGATGTCACTATCACCTTGCAAGGTAGTGAATCTTCCTTCATGTAAGAATGTGTAGTGACTCATAATCAACCAAATGAGGGTCAATTGTCTTAAGCAAGCTTGTACGAAGAATGAGATCAACACCTGAGATGGGAAGTGAAAACACTGACAGTGTAAATACATTCTCTTGTGTCTGCAGTGTCAATTACTAAATCAAACCTTTAGATTCCATATAGTTACCATTGCCCACCATCACTTTAAACATTAGGGCCTTCTCAATTGGAAGTTTCAGAAATTTAGCCATTATAGAATGTACAAAGTTATCAGAGCTACCTCCATCAATTAACACTTTTACAAGCATGGTTCCCACCTGAGCCATGAATTTAATAGTACCAACTCTTAAGCCTCTTTTAAGGCATTGAGGGACAAATGATTATCATTAATCAGTGGTAATTCCGGTTCTTTAGACTCCTCAGCATGACTTTCAACATGGTCAAAATCCTCATCTCCTAATTGTAACACATACAACTATTATGACACTTGTGGTTGATGAAAAAATTCTCATCACAAAAGTAACATAGGTCTTTCTCTCGTCTCAATTGCATTTGTGCTGGGCTTATCCTTTTCACATTAGAATTTTTCAGTTGTGGTCCTAGAGGAGTAGGTAATAAAGGTGGTAGGGTGGTCTTTGTGTTTGGTAAGGTGTTTTTAGGAACAATTTTGGAGGTTGAAGTGATAAATGAGCTAATGAAGGGTGAATGGTTATATTTGGTTGGGTAATTAACATTGGATTTCTGGCTAGGCAGAATATCAACATTTAAACCATTTATAAAACAATTAAGTATTGCTTCCTCAGTTAATCTTCATATATGTTAGCAAGAGACTTGAATTTCAAATAATGATCCAATATTGACCCATTTTGTTGCAATTTAAACAAATTTGCTATTGAACAATCAAAGGAAGAAGGGCAAAATTGAGATTCTAAGGCTCGTGTTAGTGTTGACCAAGTTGTAACTGCCTCAGTCTTTTGTAACATTTGGAACCATAACACTACATCCTTTTCAAAATGCATAGATGCAATTTCAACACGATCTGCATCTGGTGTATTGTGATAATTAAAGAATTCGTCAGCCTTGAATATCCATTTAATATCGACGAAAAGCCATCGTAATGTGAGAAACTAATGGAAATGTCCTTGATCGGTGAAACCATCGTGATAAGAGAAAGTTTGAGTTTGAGGTGCTTCCATGAGTGTGAGAAGAATTCTGCAACAATTGCTATAAAGACAGTTTGATCTCGTCCATCGTAGCTTCTTGAGCATGAGTCTTAACTTCCATCGTTTTTTGAAGTTTTTCCATCATCATAGCCAAACGATGAATATCACCTGCGTTGGTGCGAATCTCTGCTTGCATTTCCTTTATTTTGATGTTCTCCGCCATGGAAGTCAACCAAAACACCAATGTAACAGTGCTATGAATTTAGGGATTTAAATGATTACTCTTCAATTATTATTCCAAACAACCAAAGTTAAATGTCAACACATCCACAACAATTAATAAATGAAAAACTACAGTCACAAAGCATATGGTAATCATTATTGATTGGTAGGAATTCAGCAAGAGATCAATTCTTGAAATAGTAAGGAATAAATTGAATTCAGGGCAGGTTTATATCTGAAAAATGTCAAAGGGAAGACAGAGAATAAAACTTAGGGAGTGAGAAGATTCATACCACAAGGTTACATTCCACGTATGAAATCACACCATTTAACATTCTCCCTCCTTTCACTTGAGCTCTTGCACACTCCCATGCTCTTTTCTTCGTTTGATGCGTGACCATTTTGCTCAACAAATTCTCTTGCTATTGTAAAATCTTTTTTTGCATTTGTTGCATTTGTTACAATGATGCTTGTGCTGGTTGTCATGTTTCTCGTCATTACTATTTAATCCTTGTGATATCTCTTGACCCCATGATGGGTGTCAAAGAGCCACAATAGTGAAACTGAGGAAAAAGTTCAAAAACTTTAAGAAGAGAAGTGCAGAAAAGTTAAACACACTAACAAATGTAAAACATGTAATAAAAATTGGATGGATACATACCTTCATACCTCTCTCCTTTTATTTGGATCGTTAGTGATACTATTATGTGTTTTGCCTCTGTAAAGTATATATTTGAGCTTTGTGAGCCTTTGTATAGTGTTCTTGTTATGGATCGTTCTTACATTATTGTGATCATAGTTATATATTTACAATAGGTGGATGACTACACTCCTGTATGTCTATAATAAATATATAATTGTACATCCATTGTATACTTATTATATAAAAATAAAAATTAGAAAAAAAAATTATAAAAAATTGTTATGAGAGAATTAGAGTAAAATAATATATATATATATATATATATATATATATATATATATATAATTGAATGTTATATAAACTATTTACAAAAATAAGTCTATCATGTCAAAAATTAAAAGCTCAATATAATAAAACAAACAAAATTATAAAACAATAAATTATAAAATAATAAAGTTTTATTTAACTATATAAAGACATAGTAGCATAAAATATAATAATATATATATATATATATATATTTTAAAATTACTCAAAAATATTATTACATTTTCTCGTAAAAAACATGTATCATATTAGGTTAAAATAATTATTATAGACACAAAATAATATTAAAATATAAAATAAAAAAAGTTGTGTATATGACAGTGATTAAACACGTCTTACTTTTACTTAAAATGGTAATTTTCTTATTACATATATAATATGTTGTGGATAATTTAAAAAAAAAAACTTATTTTTATTTTCAGTGCATCAATATAAAAAGCGACAGGATAGGATGTTTGAATAAGATCAGAGTTAGGGTGCTGGTGGAACGAAAACGAAAATCAGTTGGCGTGACAGAGAGCAGAACAGAAGAGGGAATGGAGCAGGAAGAGCACGAAGTGTACGGTGCAGACATTCCCGACGAGGAGGTTGACATGGACGCCGACGCCGAACAACAAGACGACCAACTTCCCTCCAATCACACAACCAAGGTTAGTTAGGGTTCGTAGTTAGGTTACGCTGCTTTTCTTCTTTCTCTCTTCATAACGTTACATAAACTAGTTTCGTCAATTTCTCAGGAATTGGAGGACATGAAGAAGAGGCTGAAGGAGATCGAAGAAGAAGCTAGCGCCCTTCGCGAAATGCAGGCCAAGGTTGAGAAAGAGATGGGCGCTGTTCAAGGTAGGGTTGCTTGCTTGTTCGTTCAGATCTCCCTGTTATTTGGTGCTATTTTTTGCGTCTTGACTTCAATTTAATTTTTATTGTTTTATTTTGTTTTAAGATTCGTCTGGTCCTTCAGCAACTCAAGCTGAAAAGGAAGAAGTGGATGCTCGGTCAATCTATGTTGGCAATGTGAGGGTTGCTTATCTTTGTTGTTCTTTCGGTTTTTCGTTTTATACTGCTTTAAAATCACTTTGGACAGTGTATTAATTTGTTGATTTGGCTGGTGGTCTGTGCTCTACAATGATGATACTAGCTGGTCGATGGTCCTTTTCTCCAATGCTTTGATAACTTTAGGGTTTTAAGGCCTTTTGATTATTTTCTTTCTGTTGCTGACAAATTCACCTTGTTGATCAAGTTGTTTGACATTTGTCATCTTGGCGAGGAATTGTGAAATTTGGATCTGCGGGGTATGGTGAGGATAAATGTTGCTCCGTATACTGATAAAATTTTGCATAGCTAGTTGTCAAATTATTGCGGATTCGTGGGGTAGTTTTAACCTATGACAGAAGTCCCAGGAGACATATCAATGTATCTGGATATTAAGGGAACCGTATCACCTACAGTCTTAACAAAATTGCTCAGGATCTGGGTCCTTAATCAAATTTTCAAATATGAGATCAGTAACTGCACATTGTGCTGTTCTTCTTCTTCTTCTTCTTCTTCTTCTTGAAATACTGGGGATCCTTTCTTGGATACTAATTGTCCATTTTGGAAAGTTTAAATAGCGTCCTAGATTATTTGTATATAGGCTTAGCATAATCTTGTATTTACATTAAATAGTATACTTATGATCTTTATATTTAAATTACCCTAGTATCTTTAATGGTATTTGCTCTGCAGCATATTGAGACACAGATTCATCACACGCATCTCTTTTCTCTCTATGAACAGTTCCCACTTAATGTGAACAACTGTGGTAATGGTTGTCAAACTTGAGTGTTGACTTGTAAACGTGGACATATTTTACGAGCCCACTTCCCCAAATAGAGCTATCACACATGTGAAATTGTTTTCAAGTTAGCTTGAGTAAAATCATGCAGATTGTATAGGTTTGCTCAAGCTGCAAGTTGGAGACCAATTATGTTCCTCAAAGCTCTCATTTCAGATCAAAACGACCTTCTTTCTTAGTTATTTTTGAGGAATGACTTAAATGAATGTGAATGTTTGAAGGCATGGTTCTCTGCTTCATTATTGTTACATTGCTGCTTGCTATAGCACTATTGTGTTACAGAATTTCTCAGATCTGTGACTGCGATTCAGTTTGCTGTTGCAGCAGCTATGAATGTCATGGTTGCAGCATGCTTCTTGCATCATTTGTCATCTGTGGGGCCAGTTCCTGACCTATTGAACTTTTTAGTCAATATTAGGCTACTTTTTTATGCATTTTTTTTATTTGAATACAACTTTATTTTTATCCCAGAGTTAATATTAGTCAAATAACTTTCTATTGAATTTTCAATAAATACTTTTTACTCAATCCACAATACATCTTATTCATTCTCCTTTTGAAGACGTGATAGGGCACATTGTCCTCTTCTCGGTTATGAAAAGCTTGTTCTCCCAAGTGCATTAGGGTTCATCTGTTCTAATTTCCAAGGTTCTCTTCATTTCTGTTCCCAAAGTTTGATTCTGCGAACTTATGTAGCTCATGCGAGTCTATTAATCTGCCTTCAAATTTCTATGTTCTCTGTTACCAATGTGTCATGTTATGTACTCTGCCTCTGCCGAATTTTCTCCATTCTGTTATGTTATCAACCCTCTGATAAATTGTGTTTTCTGGTAGGATAAAGCATAATATTCTGAGCCTATAATAATATTCATTATTTATCCCATCTCTCATTCTATAGACTTTCTGTTAAATCTTTAAATAATTCACAGTTTTTTGAACTTTGTAGAAGTAAATTGTTTTAAGAATAGATATCCAATGTTTGCCATTTGGATTGATTGGTTTTCCTGCCAATGACAAGCTGAATTGATAAAATTGATTTCATCAAAATTCCAGTCCTACAGAGCCTTATATATAAGGAATATCATGTTATACTAACAATCAAAATAATTGGTACAATTATGTTATTATTGTCTTTATTTGTTTGAAATTTAGATGAAAATGAATTAGACTAAAACTCTGGGAGTCTGAGTTATTTACAAGAAAGAAAAAATGGATTCTAAAAACAAATAAACTGCATGAAGTGTAGAACACATGAAGTAGTTAATAGCGTTGTATAATGTATAGTCATGAGGTGCAGCCTTGCCATGAATGGAGTGCATCACGTATTTGTTGAGCAGTAATAGCTGGCTGAATTGTGGGCAAGTAGTAGACAAACTTGACCATGCAGCCACTGTGGTTAACAGGCCAATAATCCTTGGTTTGCCACCAACATTACATTGGTTTGAGTGGAACTGGACCTGAATTTTTTATGTTAGGTCTTGGGTATGAGTCCTTGAATGACATAAACATGGTTGGAAGAAGTTATTCCATAAAAGGTGGTTTATCAGGATTTTAGGCAGTGATTAATTATTGGTAAAACTGGTTAATGTTTCTTACATATAATGTGGAAACAACAAAAAAAGTCCCTGTTTTACCATCATTTTGTTTGATCATACTTAATATTTCTTTGAAACTTATTGAAATTTCATACAGTTTTCCTTCATCAGAATGAAAAATGGGTTCAAAACCCCTCTCTACTTAAAAAAATGGTTCAGTAGGTCACTGCTCTGTTCCTTGCACTACTTCTTGTTGACAGATGTACTGATATGTGAGTTGTATAAATTTATCTCCAGTATAGCTGCCATGTCTGCTATCTTGTCACAGTGTTTTCGAAGTCAGCTTCTCTGTGCTAAAATGCTGTGCTTGTGTAACCTCGTAGCTGAAATGTGATGACCCTAGACATCTCTGAAAAGTTACACCCTTTGAAACCTATATTATACAGATTTACTGAAATACTTGTGTAAACTTAGAAAAAAAAAATTATGCATCTTCTTAAGGATGCAAGACTTATCATTTGCAATTCTTATGGAAGTCTTATAAATTATTATCGGATCAAACTCATACTGACTTCATGTTAATGTTCATCTTAAGCTTAATCCATTTGCTACTTGCAGCAAAAACACATTAATCTATTTGGTGACCTTAATGTAATAGTATCTAGTGCCACTTACGGTCACATGTCTACTGCATGTTCAATTTCTCTATTGAATCCTTTCAATATAGTTATAATCTTTTATAGCTTTGATAATGTGTTAATTTATTTTACTGGTTTCAAAATTGTTTTAGGTTGACTATGCATGTACCCCTGAAGAAGTCCAGCAGCATTTTCAGTCCTGTGGAACTGTGAACAGGGTGACCATACTGACTGACAAATTTGGTCAACCAAAAGGGTTTGCTTATGTAGAGTTTGTGGAGATTGACGCTGTTCAGAATGCTCTCCTGCTTAACGAATCAGAATTGCATGGTCGACAACTGAAGGTCTTCACCTTCAATTAATCTCTGTAAATTCAAATTAGTCACTTCATGGTCATTTGGTTATATTTGAAATATGGTTTTCCCTTCAGGTTTCGGCCAAGCGCACAAACATTCCAGGAATGAAGCAGTATTATGGAAGAAGACCAACTGGTTTCCGATCTAGGAGGCCTTTCATGCCTGCCCCATTCTTTCCACCGTATAGTTATGGGTAAGCAATTATCAGAAACTGGAGAAAAAGAAAAATGTATCTTGGATTCGTTATTGCCCCTCTGTCTCTGTAATGTGAATTTTGACGAGTTGGTAAAATTGTTTTCAGAGAAATGGTGTTTTACATCTAGTCTGACATTTAATGAATATATTTGCTTGTATGTCTGTAATACATCTCATGATATGTCTCACGTTAACTTTTTCTTTACACCCTTGTAACATGTATGTTAAGCTAGAGGAGCCTCATGTTCAATATGTAATGCTATTGCCATGACCACCTAACGACCCGACTAAATGATACTTTAGTTTATTTGTTTTAATTCTTATGGGCACATACAAACATAAAAAAAGTAACAGTTTTTCTAAAACTATTTTAATGCTCCTCGTGTTCTTTTATTGTGTGTTAGAAACATTGAATGTGTAACCCTTTATGACGTTGGTGTTTGAAAAGGTGATCCTCTTACATTGCCATGTTAAATTATAGCGAGAAAGACAGAAAATAACTTAATGGATCCCACACAGATAATATTTGGACAAATTATAATTGTTGTGATTCTCTCAACGTGATCGTATTTCTTACTAAATCCAATTTAAAATCACATAGATTGGTTTTACCACTCAGTACTAGAGTTTGAATACTTCTGACAGCACTTTGGCCAAGATCATGCCATCATATGCTATGTGGGGACTTGCAGCAATTCTGCGAGAAATCACCGCACTCTTGCCGTTCTTGTTATTGAAGATCGGTTCTCGCTTGTTATTAGTAGAGAAATAAATCTTGAAATCTATATATGATTGCATTTCACAAGAACAAGTGAGGACAGTTATCACTTGATTCGAACATGGTAGTGTGAGAAAGTTTAATTTAATGGCAATGGATGAAAACTAAGTTTTAATTGCTCTGATCTGTCATTCTTGCTGATTTGATATAATGTATATTTATTTGTTCCCCGGGTGTTACCTTTTATAATTATTATTTGTTTGCATGCAGAAGGGTGCCAAGGTATAGAAGACCCACTCGATACAGGCCATACTAGTGCACATTCTCAATTTGATAGGTGATCACATTTATTTATGATGAGACAAGGCGTTGTTATTTTGCCATTGTAATAATTTTCGTTGGTGGTGCGAGAACATTAAGCTTCCTTTTCAGAGAAGTAAGATGCCCTTGCCAGTTAACGCTGTAGAATGTATGATGCGGATAGTTTGATCACTTGGTTACCCATCTTGCATGTTCATAGAACTTGGCATCGAGGTTCTATATACACAATGATGGAGGCAACTATGCAGGGAAAATTTTCAATAGTTGATTAGATTGAACATCAAAATTAGATTAGTGTAATGTTGGATATTTTGAAGACTTTAAAGTTAACTGTTGGAATTGTTTACATGCCACCGAGGTCAGTTCTTTTAGCTAGCTTGAAGTATGTTTACTGTTGCGTGAAATATCATACTCAGGAAATTTAGGTTATTAGAAAATGATATTCTGTTTGTGAACTTCCATAGGTTGTGTTCTTGTAATGTGTTTGGTTATTGTCGTGCTGGTCTCTTTTGTGGTGGCACCAATTTTAATTACAAGTTTGAAATTATTATTATCTATTTTAGGCTTTATTTTTGTAATTTTGAGTTATATTGAGCCTCGCATGGGAGAACATTAGGGATTAAAAGGATAATTTCAAAAGTTAATATAATTCAAAAAAGTGATTTTTAGATAATTAATTTTGTTTAGAAAAAATTTATATAAGAAAAAATGTATTTAAATGAAAAGAAAAAAGAACGGTTAGAAGATAATTATAAATTATATTTTTTTAACTGTCGAAAGTCAATTAAAGAAAATATTTCTTAGAACTTATAAAAGATGTTTCAAACATTCAGATTATTTTCTAAAAGGATTGTTTTTAATTAAATAAACTGAAATTAATAACGACTTGATATATTAAATCAACAGGTGTTTCTTTTTACACTTATCATCCCCCAATCATTCTGAAATGAGTGTTTCAGAGTGTTTTTCTTTAAAATTCCAAAATGAGTGGGAATATATTTAGGTTGTAGTAAGTTGGACACTTGTTCATTTCATCAGTGACAGTGATTTTGCTTGTCACACGTGGCATATATACGGAAGATTTCACATGTTTGAGAAATGACATATAATAGTTCTTTTATTATGTTATTCTTTAAAATAATTACAATAAATATTAACTAAATATTATGAATGACGGATCATTGACATTGTTTAAAATATTGATAGAACACAATAGAACTGTTCTTTATTTTTCAATAATGAAGTTTGAACGGTTTTGAAACTTAAATATTTAGTTATATTTAATACAAGATTTTATGTTTGTTCAAAGGACAAATATTACAGCGCCGTGATCCAGTACAAAATTGGTTCTACATGATATATTTTATTTGCTTTTTTAAATGATTGATATTTTATTTGAATTTGAGAAAATAGAATTTTTACTCAAATATATGCACTAGTTAAGACTAAAAAAATAAAGGCTCTAGTTTTTACAAACATTTTGTTTGAACATTTGTAGTGGACGAGTTGGGTCTTATTCACCCCCAAGTATCTATATTTTACTTCAATGTAATCACAAACTTCTCACAATGGGAGCAGTTACAATTTAGGTACATTCATTAGTTTTTGCCCTTCCTTGTTCTGTAGATTTCATGAACAAAATCTCTAGTATTCGGTTTTCGTATACGTCCAGATATTTGAGGCAACAATGTTCCTTTGCTCAAATAAAAAGCCCCCAAGACTTCATGCTCTACCAAATGATTGTAATGTTACACAAGAATTAATGTACAACAACCCTCCAAAAAATCATTCTGAAAATAGCTGGACCCTGTTAACATAGCAAGAGGATGCAGGATCTTGGAGGCAACTGCAAAATGCATCCTCGTCTTTAGGAAATGATGTTGGTAGGGGATGGTCAGGAATGACACCAACCTACATGCAAATGCAGGGTATTAGTGGGAGAAACCAGTTTAAGAGGTGGAGAATAGGAACAAACCTTGTCAATATCTGTATGTGCAGGTGTCTCATAGCGAGCAACTGTAACAACTAATCCAGAGCCATCCGACAGCTCAAAAACTGATTGGATCTTCCTGCATGTGTATAGCTCACATATTACGAAAATGACATACATTTTAGTTTGTTGGGTTTGAGCTCAACCAAAAGTAACTACCCTTTTCCATATGTTGGCTCTCCAAACAATATGGCCCGTTTATTGTCTTTCAATGCACCAGCTAATATTTCGCTCGCACTTGCAGTTCCCTTGTTTACCTGATACAGACTCAAGATATTTAATAACTCTTAACCATACAAATGAGGGAATAACAAATTGGAATTCTGGAGGAATGAACTATGAATACTGAATAAACACGTTTTTTAGGAACTTGCTCATGAAAACCATGATAACTATCATATCTCTCTACTATGCATTTGGGCCTACTCTTTACTCGATACTGATGCTACAGAAGAAAGCAAAAACGTACCAGTACAGCCAGTGGTTCTGAAATTGCCAGTGCACTACTTCCATCTGTATCGAGTATATCTCGAACACCACGACTATCACAAATATACACAATGACACCTTTGTCCAACCTGTTTGATAATATCCATTAGAACTTAAAGTATTTTTGTTGTTACAACATGAAGCTGAACGCAATACAGTAACGTAAAAGAAAATTTTAAGATAATACAGAAAGTCTTCTGTATTATTGATTATTGAAATTTCACAATCTATTTTAGTTACACAAATTATTTTAAAATATTATGAGGTGTATCTTATAATATGGTTTGAATATTTCTGATCTATAAAAGATAAGAATAGTGAAGTGGCCTGTGCCGGTATGGAATAACTATAACCTGTACCATCAAGCAGAATTTCAAGCTCCACCGGCGATATATTATACATAATACAAGGTATAAATCTGCCAATAGTTGATAATCATATCTTACCAAATTTTGGCAATCTCAATTCCTTCTGGGAAAAGACCACCACTGCAACAAATATAAGCTTCAGAAAGCCAGTGACTGAAATCACATAATGGGAAATGTTCATTGCTGAATCACCTATTATCTCTAAGGTCCAAAACAAATGCATTAACATCATCACTCCTTAATGTATTGATTGCTTCTTTGATAGCACCTACAGAGGTGGCACATCCATCCAAACGAAAGAAAAAGTCAGATGCAGAAACTTTTTTCATCATCAAAGAAAACAAAGAACCAATTATGGTAATGACAAACATGTATCTATATTTTCAATAGTGCAAATGAACTTAATCTAAATCAACAGTGAAGTAGAAATTTCATATCCAACGGTTCCTTCAATGTGTCAAATATATGGAAACTGGAATGTGAACATAGTTTGAGTTGATGAATTGAATGTTATGTTTAAGGAAATAACGTTGCAAGAGATCAATTTCTTTATCGTGAAGAATGTAAATTTAAAGAGAAACAAGATACTAAGAAGCACGGATGACGTATGGAATATGAATACAACAGAGACCTAGAAATGGTAGTGTCTGGTGGGAGGTTTACTTGGGATAGATATAGAAGAGGATCTAAAAGATGAAAGAAACAAAAAACATAATTGAGATGTATGATGGGGTTCTGCATCACTGCTCCTCTCCTTGCTCCATGTGTTTAGAATTGGGGGTATTGACAGGAAAGAATAGTGCAAAACCCTATGATACCCTTCAGTGAAGAAAGCCCTGCTATGAAAATGCATGATTATGTGAAAGTCCACTGACAAAGGTTGCCCTGGCCAAGGCTGAGCTGCTTATGTTTCCTATTCAGACATGGTCAGGGGCTGTCCCAAGGTATTGTGCGCTGAACATGACAACAAAAAGGAATGAGGTGCTTCTATACCATTCCAACTTCATGGTACCTAGCAGGCCACTAGATGTACAGTTTCCTAGGGCAGAGGAACTAAGGCTTCCTTAGGGAGCAATGATTCCACAGGATATGAGCCTTCCTTGAGTATTGAGCCCTCCTACTGATACTTTAGCGGTACTGTATTTCTGACAAATTCATGGAAAAGATATCCTGATGAATGAATTTAATGCCATAAAGTTCATAAAAATATATGAAGTGTATAATTGAAATCTACTATTCAATAAAAGCTCATACAGACTTAAACTTCTTTAGCATTATATTTTTTTATTACTATCTTTTTTTGGGGGGAGGGGGGATCATTATTGGTTGTGGCACCAAAGGCATTTTTACTCTGTTCTTTTCTTTTCTTCTAAAACAGTAAAATGTAATACTGGTTAGTCCAGACAGAAAAACATGGAACTTCAGATTATTAACCCAAAAGCACATTCACAGTAGCAGCTTTGTAACATATCACACATAAACAATCCAGATATGAAAATGAAAAGCATACATAGAATGCTCAAAAATAGTTTGGATATCTTTACATTTCTTGCTTCAGTCTTTTTAGTATACTCCATAAAACAGTGAAAATTCTTATTAATGCTTATTTAAAAAAAAAAATCAGTAATTGGTCAAACTGCATATTCCAGAATGGGAGGAGTACAAATGGTCCCTTGAAATATTAGGTTCTAACAAGTGTCACATGAGTAAAGCATACTAGTTAAGAAATGATCCTGTTCCATAGTCGTATAGAAGCAAACAAAATCGTGCTTAACCCATCAATTAGTACTTACTTGAAGCTTTTTGGTTGAAAGATGTTAGTTTGATATAACCAATTGTGGGGGAATCATTTCCTGAAGCAGGTAGCTTGCACAGTCTAGACTTCACTGGATTCACTGAAACTTTCTCTCGCCTGATATGCAGAAACTCTGGTGTTTAGTTTTTTAATTAGAAATAATATTGAAGTTTGGAAGAAAGAGAAAACATTGTTTAAGCCTACCACCAGGTATGATACAAAAATAAAAATAGACAAATTTAGGAGGGGTGACAATAGTAACAAAAAGAGTTAACCATATAAATGTGGAAAGGAAACAAAACTAACCTCAAATCCAGGTGTTTTATGTCCAAACCACTGCGAATGGTCAAAGCTATAGAGCTTCCTTCTGGTCCCCTGCATTTAATTTTAAACGGTAAGACAATCAATAGATATGTTCAAGGAAATAATGGAAGTTCGTTTTTTTAAATGGATGTTTGCATTAGTTTCAAAAACCTAATGACTATCTCTCAAATTAGATTAACAATTAAAAGACAGAGATAGAAAACAAGGGACAATATTGTAAAACTAAGTAGAGGGCAGTCAGCAGATAAAGAAAAAAACACTACTACAATATTTATAGTTTTATCAACATGGTGCTACACTTTGCAAATCTTTTAAGAAGTAATGTAGTCCTGTTCCTTGGTTTTTCTGTACAATATTCACAATGATTTTTTTTTTTTTTTTTCTTTTTATGCCCCTCAAATATTTATTTGAAAGCACATGTGAAATGTACAAGAAAAACCCACTGTAGGCGTTCAGCTGCATCATACAGCCCCATGCTTTCTGTGCTTGTATCATCAATTGCCAGAATAACATCTCCAGATGAAACACCAGCTCTATATGCAGGACCTCCTGGTGAAGCTGAAATGACAACAAGTCCACCAGTTTGCATGTCACCTTTAGTAGGATAGCCTATTGATATCCCCACTCCAGTTAAAGCGCCTTGAGTTCCAGACTGCCTTCAACAAAAAATTAGTCCTTGGGATTAAAGTGTAGGAAAGCATATATTCTGCTAGATTAGACAAACGGTATTACGTAATTTCAGCCAGAACGATGTGTAAATAAGCCAAAGGAAAACTTAGAATGAAAGAATTGTACCCTCAAACTTCTGAACTTTTCAGGCTCCAAAAATCTGGTGAATGGATCATCCAATGTGGCAAGCATCTTTCTTATTGCCTTATCTGTGTGCAAATGCAATAACATCATCTTGAGGTAAACTAGTGTACTTTCTACTACAAGATGAAATCCTACTAAATTTCAGATATCTCATAATCTTGTATGCAACTTATTATGAAACAATGTGGAACCTTTGTTTATTGAAGATAGCAATCAACATTGGGATGGTTAAGAAAAACATTGTCAGTTATCTTGATTCACCTAAACAAGGCAGGCAAGTCATCAAGTTACCAATTGCATCATGTTAGTCGTTGCTCACTCATGTTTGATCCTTCAAATTTAAAAGTATGAAGTACATGCGTCTTCACAATAAAAGTCATATGCAGTCCATCAGGGTTATTCTCATATTGTTTGCAAGCATAACATAAATGAAACATAAGTGGTTTATCACAATTCAGATGTAAGTGGCTTATTCTCTATTTTCTCCATATTCAAGAACATATTCGTGCTATTGCTTCCCATCACTGAGTCCAGATAACCATTTATTGGAATCAATAGTCAAGCATTCTAGCATTTTTTTCTGTTAGTTTGTGGAGATATGTGAATACATTAGCATTACAAACCTATTTTGCAGGCACCAATTAATACAATTTTCTGAATTTAGTAATGTAGGAATTGAAACTTGAGGGAAAAGATCAGAAAACAGAGATACACATTGTAGGTACACACACATATCACCTACCAGAGGGGAGAAATGCGGGAATTTGGACAAAATTCTGGATGAATGTACTCAATATCCATGTTATATAAAGATTTAATTACTCTATTCTAGGACTAGTTTAAATAAACTTCTCATTAAGTAATTACGAGAGAAAAAAAAATAGGAAGGTGAATAAAACTTCTCCTATAAGTTAATATCAAGTTACACAAGTCATGTTGGAGAGGATAAATCAAATTTGCAAGATTTCTTGACCTGTGAAAAGGGGGAGATGGAGACCAAGAAGGGCATTACAGGAAGTCATCAAGAGAGATTTTGTGGTTTATATTATCTTTGAAGCTTTGGTCTTTAACTATGATGAATGATATCATGTGATCCATGTAGTTGACCTCACCTACAAATATAAATCTTTATTGTTGTTGCTGTTGTAATAGAGAAGTTTGATTTCTTAAGTTTTCTTATTTTCTTCTCTTATAAGTGTTTATTATTAAGTATCTAAATGGTCCCAAGTCAAATTAGATCTAGTTACTTCACAACCCAGAATCTAGAAAGAGATTGTGTTCACGATGCTATAGGTGCAAAACTAATTCAGAGTTGACTTGGAGGTTAAATAATCATCAAATATCAAGTGCCAGCATTCAAAATAACATTACATGATATTTCTAGATTACCATAATTTGTTTTAACTTGTAAACATTTTTCATCAAATTTTAATAGTCTCAGCTAAAATTTGGCCCAAGTTCAATTAAATTTTTCTACTACTTATCAAGTAGACATAAAGTTATTCGATGAAGAAATAATAATATGATTCTACTCCTCAAAATCTAAAATGCTAGCACGGCCGATTTTCTATCTTGAAAACATATACCATCATAGAATGTTGCCATTGTGCAGCAAGTTCAAAAAGTATTAATAAAGGTTGAAGAATGAAAGTATACATGTCTCTTCTCGATTGTTCATTGGTTCATTGCGAAGTGCATCTTCTCTATATCTAAACCAACTCTGTCCATTAAAACTTTTATCGATATACGCTCGGTCAATTGTTCTCCACGCCTCCAGAAAGAGAAGATTTTCTTCAGACAGTCCCCCTAGAGGACAGAACCAACAAAAAAGAGACAAGGTTAAGACAAAATTAAAGTAAGATTAAAAAATTCATTACCCAGTTATATTTTGAATTTGAAACATAACTCAAAATCAAAGTGACTCACAGGATGGCTCACTAGAAGCCAGAGAAACAGACATGACCAAGATCACTCCAGTAACCAACCGCATAAACAGAATAGAAGCATGCTGTCTTACGTTTTCTGAACAATCCTTCAGTCTTAGAAGACTGTTACATTTCCTTCTTTTGGAAATGAGACCCCAACTGGATGGAAAATAGCTACACTGAGGATAATAGATGCTGCTTAACCGTGACACAACCCCAATTGAAAAATCTCTTCCAGAATACTTATTTCTATAACCAACACCTTTCTTCCTTCTATATGCCAATGGAAACCGAGATTCTATTACCCTTAATGAAAAACACTTCCACTGTGACACCTGCAGGTAGTACAAATTACAATTCAGTAATACTTATTACTCAAATAAAAATATTCATGTCCTTCCCATTGATCATCTATCTATAAATTGGTTCATTACAGGGACAAATAAATAAACGGTAGCGTTCAAAAATCCATTTTTTTAATTCTCAGAAGCCAAACAGAACGTGAAAATGAAACGGGGAAATGGGTTCGAAAAAGAGGTGAAAGTGCTGAGAAGATGGGGAAAAGAAGTGAGAAGTGGAAAGAGAACCTTAGGAATGGAGATGGCAGGGAAAGAGTCATAGTGACAGCAACGAAGAGAAGAAGAAGCATTCACAGAGCTTGCAACGAAATCCATGGAAGGCAGAAGGGTGCCCCACCTCTGGCTCAGCCTTCACTTTTTCTCCTCTACATTATCATCCATTTTGGATAAATAAAAACTATAAAAATATTAATAATAAAACATTCCTTTTCATACAAAAATTAAAGAATATTCAAAGTACCGACAAATCCATCAATATTTGATGAGTGTTTTTTTTGTTTTTTTTATTAAAGGTATTTTCTAATAAAATAGTTATTTCAAATATATTATTGGATTTTCCGTTTTTTTAATAAATAAATCTCATTTGCTTTTTAAGTACATGTCTGTTTTAAAATTTATTTTAAATTTAATCAAACTAATTGATTATAGTTTAAAATAATAATAATAATAATAAATAATTAAATGTAGTTTTTAACAATAATAATAATAAATTGTAATTAAAGGAATTTGTTTACTCCATCTGAATGCAACATTTTGAAATGGTTATTAAATATAAGCTAAAGAAGTTTCTTTTTTTGTTAAGTTTATTCCACTATTAAGTCACATGTAAGTGATGTGAAAATTTGGAGGGGACAAATTGAAAGACTTTACAAGAGAAAAGAAACAAAAGTTGAAAATTGAATTTGTTTAAAAATAAAAAAATATCCAATTGTGGTGGAGGAAGTTGCTTGAATGAAAATATCTTTCTTTTTATACTTCAAGCACAACTGCACTGTAGGACCTAAATATATTAAAGAAAAGGTGTGAGTTGGTGTATTAAGGAGGAGCCAAAAACTATGGTAAATTAAATAATCTTATAATTAAGAAGTTGATTAAGGGGAGAGACGCAAAGTGGAGGGGAGAGTGTGGTGGTGTGGGTGTGTATAAGAAGAGTTGAGATGAGAGGAACGATAAATGCGGTGGGCGAAGCAGAAAACAGAGATCGGGAATGCCATTGCTCATATCCAATTCCGCCAAAGCGTTTGTCCTCTCCAAGCGAATGTCCCATCCTCCCGCCCTCAAAACGCGCCTCAGAGGCGTCGTTTTCGACATGGACGGCACCCTCACCATCCCAGTCATCGATTTTCCGGCCATGTACAGGGCGGTGCTCGGCGACGCGGAGTACCGCAGGCTCAAGGCGGAAAGCCCTTCCGGCATCGACATTTTGGGTCACATCGAGGCCTGGCCTCCTCATGAAAAGAAAAAGGCCTACGACGCCATCGCCGAGGTCGAGCGTCAGGGTCTCCAACACCTCCAGATCATGCCTGGTTTGCTTTGCATCAATTCCTGGCTCTCTTTCTTCTCTCTCTCTCTCTCTCTCTCTCTCTCTCTCATGAGGTGAGCATAAGTTTCATGCTCCTTGTGCAGGTGCTTCGGAGCTTTGTGCCGTTCTCGATTCCAAGAAAATAAGGTCCAGTTAAGCGCACTTTCTTCTTCTTCTTGTGCGTTTTGCCAAATTGAGATTTAGTTAAATGCTGTATTGGCTATTAGTCCCGCTTTTTACGTACGTACACGTGGACATCAACACATTGATTAATTTGGAAAACTAACGTTTTTGTGTGATAGAACTTACTTCAACTACTTTTAGTATTATTTTCAATAAATAGTTAGAGTTCACTATTGTATGTGTAATAAATGTTTGTATTAAAGGTCAATATAGATTACCGAGGTGATTTTTCAATTCTGGTATCAGAACTATACTCAAACCATTAAAGCAATAAGTTTTGTTCCGTCTTTTCTTAGGACAGACTTAGATGCAGTTTCGTATGGTATATGTACTCTTGGAGCTGTTTTTTCTGTTGAAATTTAAAATTTTATCTCAGAAGCCTATGCGAATCTTTATTACTGTGTGGTAAAACTATTTCTGACCGTAAAACAATAATACCATAAGTATTTTAGGAACTACATTTAAGTTTTGTCCTTTTATTTATCCATTTTGTATGTTTATGCTAAGATTTTGTTAGCAACATCTAGACACCAAGGCAACGAGTTGATCAAATCAATTGATTATTTGCTGCACATATCTATGATTACTCTTAAAAGATTTTATAATGTGAAGTTTTTTTTGTGATGATGGTATTTGTTAACCAACTGTGATTCCACTTGTTTGAAGTTTTTGTCCCAAAAAGATAATGATATTATAATTTTTCCACAGCAGACTTTATGATCTTGGTAGTTGTGAAATATAAATAAATTACTCATGGTATATAGCCTTTTTTAATAGGAGGGGTTTGATCACTCGGAACAATAAGTCAGCAGTTGATTTATTCCATGAACGATTTGGGGTGAGTTTGTCAACAAACACAACTGTGTGTGTGTATGCATGTATATATAGTATTTCTTTTTCTTGGACAATTGGATTGAATTGATATGTGGAAATTGTGTATGAAATTAGGTTGTCCACATGTCCTATTTGAACTTTGTTAGCATTGATATGGTATTATGCCAATATAAGTAGAAGAGCGCGACAAAGATTTTGCACTGCAGTTTTCTTTTGTCCGTTGGTATGACATACATCAGTGTGAAGTTATACAGTTGCCGGATGCTTGTATAGAATGGTATTTTGTTTCGTTACATTTCCATTATTTTCAATATAAGTTGGTGTAATCTTATAAAGATGGTTTTAAAAATAAGTTCTTTCTTTCTAAAATATGCTTTCTATGGTGATGGATATGTCATATAGTCACTTTTATTGGTTGTAACTTGAAGATTGTGACATTAATGTAAGGTTAAACCTCTATCTCTTCTTTCTTTTAAAATGTTTAACTACTATAATTTATGCCTCTTTTCTGCAGATTACATTTTCTCCAGCATTAAGCAGGGAATTTCTTCCCTATAAACCTGATCCAGCTCCACTACTGCATATTTGTTCTCTTTGGGAAGTTCAACCGGATGAAGTAATAATGATTGGGGATAGCCTTAAAGATGATGTAAGTGATTCTTTTCCTGATAATGTGAGTATTCATGATAAATGACTACTGGCACACTTTTTGTTGTAGCTGTGCATTGTGCAATTTCAAGTGCATTGATTCTTATTATCAGCATTATTTGGAATAATGCATACAGACCTTCTTAGTTTCTCTTTTCACATTTGATTACAAATAAATAATTGGAAAAGTTACAAAATAAAAGTCAGAACGGTAATATTGTAATAACAAAATCCTGAAACTAGAGATAATTAAGAAGACATTTTCAAATCTTTCACATAGAGTTGGTTCTGTGATGCTGACTAGAGAGCTTTCTGGTAAAAAAAAAAAAAATCAGCATCAGTATGCAAACCAGTCTGTGTTTGCTTGCAATAGATAAAGCGTTATTTTGTCCTGGATTTTATTTTGCTATGCCTATTGGTATTTTAATTAAAACATCACTTTATCTGCAAGTTTTATGCCACCAAAAATACCTGCATTTGATCAGTCATAGAATGAAGATTGTGGTGCATTAATAAGTGGCCCACAAGGGGAATAAGCTCTGGATAACAAAATGATGAATTATGTGCTTTTAACATTTCCTTTAATTATAGTGAGAGACCAAAAAGAGTTTCATATAAGGTAAACACGATAAGTTATATGGTAAATTACATTTCCCTCTTATGGTTTATTTAACTTAGTGTCATATGATGTTAATTTACCCATGTTCATCATCCCCTAAAACTATGATGAATAGAGCAAACTTGTATTTCCTGTTAAATTTAATAGTGGCAGTCTGTTCATGTGAGAGGCAGAGTAGTGAGTGTTTTATGAGAAAGTATGCCAAATTTAATTGTGTGCAGTTTGATTTTTGCGAAACGGATTGTTATTTGCAATACAGCTGCTAACAAATTCCTTTCCATTTTATGTTTCCTAGTATATTTATCATACTTGATTGTATTTGAAATTGGATGGTAATTGATTTATGCTGCATTGCTTGTTTAACCATTTTACAGGTGGCTTGTGGAAAGCGAGCAGGAGCATTTACGTGCTTGCTTGATCAAAAAGGAATATACGATTCTCCCGAGTATGCTGATGTTGAATTCAAACCAGATTTCAAGGTGTCTTCCCTTGCTGATGTTTTCTCAGTTCTTAATGTAAATTTTGATCTGTCACCGTGATGTCAAGGATTGTTCACGTGCAGCATTTGTTTTGTGGTTTATGCTAATAAGAGATATGGAGATGGCATGTGTTTTAGGGTAGTTTTATTCCTTACCTTTTGTGAGGGTATGAAACAAAAATATCATTCGAAATTTTAGGTTGGAGGATTTAATAGGAGGCACATCAATAATAATGACTCATCTTGGATAATTTTCATTATCTTGCATGGGCATGAATGTCATCCAAAGTTGCTGTTCTAATAGTTAATGTCGGTGACAAGATACATTGGATTATGCTGTACATGTTGCCTCTCTTTGGACTTGCGAGTTATGTAGATAAGATAGTTTCTTGGACTCATGGGTTATGGCACGATATTATGTCTGAGTGCTCCATTTTTTATACCCTATAAAATTAATGGGACCACTCCTATTTCTGGAATATATTTTTACATTTCGAAATGTTCATTCCATAATGAATAGAAGATGATCCAAAAAATTAATAGAGTACGGAAAGAAATCACTTTTGTCTAATTCTGGGTTTAAGATTTTTCCAAACAGGGTCCAGTTACAATAATATATTTATGAGGGAAACTTACGGTCTTAAATCAATTTTTATTAATCGTTCATTAATGATGTTTTGCTCTGCATCTCCTATGTTGGTGGCAATTCAAAGTGCTCTTCACTATGATTCTTGCACAAGATATCAAACATGACATGCAACATTTATGATAATTAGTAAATGTGGAGGTTCCTGAAAAGATTTAATATTTATTTTGGAAATAATTAGTAGAATTTAACAAAGTCTAACTCTTTCTCCTTAATCAATGCCCATGGATTTTTTTTCAGAAAAATCGTTCGTCAATGTGATGATTATTTATGAACTATTTCATTTTATATAATGAAAAAGTGTTTTCTGTGCCAATGATCACGTGTCTACATTTTTGTCACGTTTTTTGGGTTGAAATTCCAAAATTTGTTTGGATGTCTAAAGTCTTCTTTACGAAGTGATAAATGTCAAGCAGTAATTTTCTGCTTATTTTACTTCATATAGTTTTTCCAAGCCAACGAGAAATTGATAAAGTTTTACCATGACAACCAAGTACTTAACCAAGACAAAGTTACACAGAATGTAAGTTTGACTGAGCATATGCTATTATAGCTTAGGCTTAGAAGGGAAAATTTAAAATTATTCAAGAGAGACAAAGTTGCTGAAGCAGTAATAATCCAGTGAAAATACAAATATTCTTATATCCTACATCCACTTTCATTTATCCTCCTAAACCACCATTTTATGAACCTGTAATTGATCGAATAGAACTATCATTCACCCAGATAATTACGGCAAACTATTGAAGAAAGCATTCAAACTAACAACCCTGAAAATCAAAAGAATTTGAAAGTGATGTTTCATCATTTTTTTTTCCCAGTGGCACGAATTGTTGAATCAACAGCTGCTAATGCTATTATATTTGGAATGGCGATCTTTGCCATCCTGGTGAACTCCATGCGGATCCCCATTTTCCAGTCCCATCCTAGTGGATAGCTAGCTTTTCATTCCATTGCTGTAAAATATAGGCTTGATTTAAAGGAAATGGTTTTTAATAATATTATGGTCCGTCTAGTTTTCATCCCCACCCCACAATTGTTTGGCTGCATGTGAGCCTACATGCATGTCATCTGCACATTGATTAGTTGCTCAGTATCTCGGGAAACGTTTGCACTCCCCATGTTCAAAATAAAGTTAACCATATGAACTAAAACAACCTGAAAGTTGGGGCTTTTCTACCGTTTTTCTCACTCCAATCCACTTGGGTCTTGAAATGTCACCAAACAAATGGTTTCAGAGTTGGCTGAGCTAAACTGGCTGGCCTGGCCAGTTTTTAGTGTTTACAAGACACTTCAAGATTTGCAGTACATCGATTCCAGCAGATTCAAGTCAGGATAGGATATCACTATCAGTACAACCATATGACATCATTGATACAAGGTCATCGAGCATTCCATAGATTAAACTAGACAAAGGATGTGCTTTGTCAGCAACAGAAAAATAATGAGTCTTACCACTAATAGTTATCCAACTGCAACCTGGAACCTTTTTTAAACCTCTTTCTTTCATCATTGTTCTCACCTCACTTACCACATCCCATCTCCTATAGGATGCATACGTATTTGAAAGGGATATATAATTTGAGGGGTTTTCAGGTTCCAGCTCTAAGAGATGTTTATAAGCCAGGTCTCTTGTCCTGGAATTCCCATGCATTACAGAGGCAGTTAAAAGAGATCCCCAAACACTTGGACTAGGATCTAGAGGCATTTCTATGATGAATTGCAAGGCTTGATCAAGCTGGCCTGATCTACCTAACATGTCCACAATACAAGCACATATTTCAACTGTTGGTTTTATTTCATAATTAGTCATCATAGATTTATATATACTAATGCCTTCATCTACCAATCCTGACTTGCTACATGCAGAAAGAACACCAACCACTGTTATCATGTCTGGTTTGGCCCCTTGCTGAAGCATTTTGTGATACGTAATTACAGCTTCTTCTCCTCTCCCGTGTAATCCATACGCAGAGATCATTGAACTCCAAGTTATAGCATCTTTGAAGTAGGAACCAGTTTCAAATGCCCGTCTTGCATAATCCAAACTCCCACTTTTGGAATACATGTCAATTAAAGCATTGCATAGGGAAACATCTTCGTTTAACTCCATTCTAATAGAAAATCCATGTATTTGTTTCCCTCCTGTTAATCCAGCAACCGAGGTACAAGCTGGAAGCACACTAACAAGTGATACTTTATTGGGTCGTATCCCACCTTTCATTTGCATCTCACTAAGAAGAACCAATGCTTCCTCAGGTGCTCCATTCTGCACATAACCATTGATCATTGCCGTCCAAACATATACATTTTTGTTTTTCATTTGGTCAAACACTCTCCTTCCCAGAACAACTTTCTTACTCCTGGAATACATATCAATCAAAGAAGACCCCAGATGCACATCTAAACCCATCTTCAAATCTAACCCATTCTTCACCACATAACAGTGAAGCTCCCTCCCATAATCCAACTTCCCAGAATTGCCACAACACACTGGGAGTAAAATCGCTACAGTAAAAGCATCAGCCACTAACCCCTCACATTGCATTCTTACAAAAAAGTTCCATAAATAATCACGGGAAGCAGACGTACAATTTTCCAAGGCAGCACACCCAGAAATTACAGCATTGAACGAACCAACATTCCTCTGAGGCATTTCCTCAAACACCTTTACTGTTTCAGCAAACTCTCCACACCTACAATACATTGCCATTAGAGAATTGGCAACAACCGCATCCGACACAAACCCAATCCTTACACTCTTCCCATGAATCAATCTCCCGGAAACCAAGTCCTCAAGTTCACCAGAAACTTTGAAAACCGTGGCGAGAGTGTAATCATCAGGCGGCACACCATTGCTACCCATTTCTCTGAACCAAGCAAGGGCTTGGTGAAAGTTGTGGTTTTTAACGTACCCATTGATCAGTGAGTTCCAGAGGTAAACGTTCTTGGCCTCAACGGACTCAAAGACTAACCTTGACAACGTTAGCCCGCCACACGTGGCATAAGCAGAGACGAGCCTGGTGGCGAGGAAAACGTTTTGCGCATACCCATTGGCGAGGATTTGAGCGTGAGATTGTTGGGCGAGTTTCTCAACTCGAAGGTCGATGCAGCGTTGAAGCAGATGGAGGAGAGTGTGCGGTGTGTGGGGGAGAGAGACAATGGCAGAAGTGTAATAGCGAGAGGTTGTGAGGGTAAATGTAAATGTCCTCCTCAGAACCATAAGAGCCAGAAGTTGCATTGAGTTTGAATTTGGCGGGTAGAGAGGATGAAGTTTAAGGCTTTGTCATTTGGCACCTTCACTCTATGAATTTTATTTAACTATTAATCCGAAAACATATAAAATTTTATAAAATAAAACATCACCTATATTTTTTTTAATAAAAAAAAATGATTTCAACCACTAAAACTTTTGACGTACCCATAAACATTTAATAAATGTGCAAATATAGGATATAAAGGAAATGTTGCATTCCTAAAGCCAATAGCATGACAAGTTTATTAGGGTTTTTTCAGATTTTAAACATTAAAAAAACTTGTTTAATTTTGTTAAAATAGTTTTTTAAAACTATTTTTGTTTTTTTATTTTTTTAAAAACTAAAAATTTAAAATTGATAAAAAAATTAATATATAAAACTAGTTTTATTAATATATAATTTTTTAAAATTTGTAAAATTAGTATCTAAAACTATTTTTAATAAATAAAAAATAAAACTAAATCAAAGAAATCCTAAATTTTGGAACGTTAATTCTAAAGCTTAATTATTTATATGTTCCAGATTATTTATTTTAGAATATTTTATTTTGAAATACTTTTTGAGATAGTAAATACTTAACTTATATTTTTTTTATAATATATTAGTTGTCTATTTCAAATGTCACAATGTTTAACGCGTTTTCATGTCCACCAGCTAAGTTTACACATCTCTAATATAACAAATTATATTTTCAAATTTTGTATAATTACATATAACTTTTAATTCTCATCCATTAAATCCATGAAATTTGCATGTTTAATTGGTGAAGTCACATGTTGATCAACAAATTAAAAACTATAGAGTTTTAGACAGAAAAGTTACACGAGTAACAAACCAAAAAAATCATTTAGTTTGCTAGATTTTAGTCCGATTAATTTTAATTTAGTAAATTTTAGTTTAATAAATTTTATCATAACAAATAGATTCATTTAAATTGATAAATTTATCACTTTTATCAGTATATAATATTTATTATTTGAGAAATTAAGTTTAATTATTATCAGGAAAAAATATTATATCTAAAAAAACTATTAAATAAAATACCTTTTTAAATGTTATAAATAGTATTGCTTTTAAAATATATATTTTACATATTATCTTGAACAATAAGTATATCCTAAATTTGGAGACTAAAATGATAAATGTAGGTATAACTTACAAAGGATATGAATTTTTATTTAACCAAAAATGTATTAATATAAGAAGTGAAGGATTGATAGTGAAAATCTTGAAATATTTCTCGATATATTTATCAAAAGATAAAGGATTTATCGACCTATGTAAAACAACATATATTTTTAAAAAATTTGAATTTAAATTATTTATCTAGCAAAATATTTAATAAAAGCATAAAAAATTGACACGAACTATGAATTGATGATATTGTTAATTTATTTATACGCATTCAGTTACTTTCACATCGTAGAAAAAGCAGGGGCATAATTTATAGGTTGGAGTGAGTGGAGCTTATGCATTAATATTCTCTCTATGATTAAAAAAACTGAGATTATTATGCTATTCTTATGTTTTTAACAGGTACAGGTGTTGAGAATAATAAATTCTATTCATTTTTCAATTATTTAATAAATATTTTAAAGTTAATTAAGTAATTATTTTATAAATTATCATTGCACACTTTAAAAAAGATTAGAAAAAATAAGTTATCTGATTGAATTTCGGTACCTATATCGCTTTGGTTGCTTTAGTCAGAATTATTTTGACATTCATATATTTTAGTCTTCTTTTTTTAGAATTAAAAGATTATTTAAATAAGTAAAAAGAATAAAGAAAACAACAATTTCCAGAACAAAATTTTTATTGAACAGTAAGTTTGTCATTTTTTCTTATTTTTTTTAGCAGTTGAATTTTTTTAAGCTTAAACAATATATATATATATATATATATATCACTGAGACTAATAATTATTTGCGGTTTTCATAAAAAAAAAAAATGTTTGCTGTCAAAATTTTATTCTTGAGACTTATCCTGGAAGAATGGACTAAGAAAAATAACATAAATTATTTATGTGTAATTTTTCATTTTCATTGTAACGATAGATTTTTTTTTTTTTCTTGACTTGCGTAATTGGGTTTTTGGAGGTATCAGTGTCAAACATTATCTATTCTTATATCTTATTTTAATCATCTTTGTAAATTGCCTTACTTAACATGCAATTAAATACGTTTTGTTCAATTATTTATGTAAATATTTAAAAAAAAAAACAATAGTTTGAAAACACGTTTTTAGAAATAGTTTTGAAAACTCAATAAATTTTGTAGAAATTAATTGTTGTGAATTTACTATATTATCTATTTGACACATCAATAGTTTTTAAAACCCACAAGCTAAGTTATTTTTATACACGTAGTTAAATAGTCAAAGTAATTTTACTTTTTAGATAAAGAAAACGAAAAAAAGAGATTTTGCTTTATAATCAAACTAATAATTTTTCATTGCCTTTAAAATTTGTGAATGAAAAATTAAAACCTGAAATATATTTTCAAACATAAATTAATTATTTTCTTATAGATTCTTTTCACAATCATTCTTCAACGTCAATGTAATGAACCTGAACCATACAAATTCAAAAAAATTCTTAACGTTTCCTGGTGGTATCTCTCCCTCTGTAATTCTAGATTCTGAGATACTAGCAGAATGTCAGAACCAGTGATACTTATTCACACCATGTTTAGGGATAACCAACACGTAAAATTATTATAAATAAAGATATAATGCGTAAGATATGTGTGATAATTAAAGAATCCAATTCTATCATAGTTTAAGAAATTTATTCATTAAGAAATGAGAGAAAATAAGAGAATTTGTATTATGTGTTGCTTGGATAGAGGAAAAGAATAAGGTGAGAAAAGATTTCATGAAGAACTTTATGTTGAGTTGTACTAATACCAAAAGTATCTCATAATCTATGTTGAAGATTTGTTTATGCAGTAATGCATGCTTTAGCTTACCTAAAAAGCTTTACCATCCAAAATTTGTTTATGCAGTAATGTCTGCTTCAATTTTTAAGCTTCTACTTCCAACTTGGTTTCAGACGATTGCAAGAGGAGAAGAAAATAACTGAGAAATGAGAATAATTAAGACTATGTACAGGGAAATCTAGTTTATTACTTTTGCCATTTCTTCCACTCTCCTAGTACAAGAAAAGTTGTCAAATTTTCTGTTATTTAAAACAAAAAGAGAATAGAAAAGGCAAAGCACATTAGAGACTTTTAAAGCAAAATTGAGACACTTTATTAAGGGGTTACACAATACCTGGCCTTCAGAAAATCACTCATTAGTCACTACCCTGACTTGCACACTTTTAAGAAACAATTAATCCTAACTCTAAGCTCCTTGTTTAGGACCCTTATCAAGCCGTGACTCATAGTTGTAGTACTGATATTCCTAACAGTTTTCAAGGCTAAAAGATAAAAACTTTTAACTGAAAGGAGCAACTAAATTGTGTAAACTAGCTTTGCTTGTAGCATTAGCTGCATTGAAATTGCAAAGAACATCGTCCAAGTTCCACAGTCCATCCCACAGAATTTCTTCGTTTGATGACTCTGGTGCAGAGACATTGTCATTGGCATTGAACATAGAGTAGAAATAACCCTGCTGCTCTGAAGTGTTTGGATACATGTTAACCATTTCTTGTGTCTCTTGAGATGTAGAAGGGACTCTATGGTCATTTTCCTCAAGCAAGTTTATGATCCCTTTGATGTCCAAGTTGAATTGGAATTGTTGTTGCTGCTGCTGCTGAACCTGCTGCTGATGCTTCAACTGCAGTTGTTGCTGTTGAAATTGCTGCCTCCTAGAGGAACGGATTCTAGCCTTCTCAGCAGCATCAGAGGGGCTTTTAGTCTTCTTCTTGAAATGGGTCCTCCAATAATTCTTGATCTCATTGTCAGTTCTTCCTGGCAAGCTTCTTGCAATTGTTGACCACCTGAAGTGTTCTTGATTTAGCTTTAAAGCTTTTTTGTAAACATAAACACAAGTGGAGAAAACATGCAAGTTCAAGAGATTGGGAATTCAAATTTTACCTGTTTCCCCACCTAGCATGCAGCTCTTGAATTATGCTTTCTTCTTGTGGTGTTATCTGACCCTTTTTGAGGTCTGGTCTCAGGTAATTCACCCATCTCAGTCTGCAGCTCTTTCCATTTCTTTTCAGTCCTGTTAAGAGAATAAATACATGATCAACCATTTGGACAAAAACAAAAGACACAAAAAGTATGAAGAACGTTACTCAAGGGTTAAGAATGATAAAGAACATGGTCCCAAAAGTCTGAAAGAAAAACTTATGGTACAAGGGTAGTTAATTCTAATTTTTGTAAAGTGAATTGATATTGGACAGAGGTGTAAATTAAGTATGTGAGGAATTAAGAAGCAAAACATGGTGCATAAAGTTTGGTAGGGACCTGCAAGCCTAGCAACAGAGTTCCATCTGCCTTCACCATGCAGTCTGACATACTGAATGAGCAATCTGTCCTCTTCAGCAGTCCAAGGACCCTTCCTCCATCCCTCCTCCTCTATTACACCCCACCCCATGTTTCCTGCCATAACTCCCCAATACATACAAAAAGGCTTCTAAGTTGTTGGCTCTTAGGTAAAGTTTGTCTTTTAAATTCTATGGTACTCATTTGTGTTCAATGTTTGCTTCATATTTATACCTGCAGCTGGACCTCAACTTCATTATGTCAGTCAACCAATGTTATTTTCTTTTAGTCCCTGTCCATGTCACTGTTACAGACACGGTTGTGTTGTCTACAGGAAAAAGACAAGATTTTTCAGAGAATATATATATCTATATATTACAAGAACTCACATGTATTTTTTTATAGATAAACATTCATACTCTAATTTAATAGAATTATATTACGAATGATAAAGTGTTTTCTAGAGCCCGTTTATGATCTTAGGTTGATGAATTACTTTATGTCATATGATAAAAAAATCTCATTAAAATTTATAATAATATATTCTTGCTTGAGATATTAAATAATATTTTTAGACTTCTTAAGTCTTAAAAACAATAGTAGATTTTAAATTTATAATCTAGTATTAATTGTGTTTTTAGTATTTTTTGTGAAAAGAATAAAATATATTATTTTAAAAAATTAAGTTAAATATTGGATTAATGATAATTATTTATTTTGATAATTAATGATTATTGTATGTTAGATGAAATGTGATTTAGTATAATTTATTTTGTTTAGTGTACTTCGTAATTCTTATATTTTTCAATAGTCGATGTCAGGTCATAAATTTTAAATCATACTTTTATTTTTCGAGGAAAATTTATATTTTTTAAAATATTATTCTATTAATCACATAATTTTCAAGAAAAAAATATTATTTAGAGTATGATAATTTTTTATATGTTTACACTGATAAATTTGTTGCTTAAACTTTTAAAAAACACTTAGAATGAAAATAAATGTTTACTTCCTATTCCGTACAATGGGAATGAAAAATAAGGTCAGGAATGTAATGAATTTGATTAAATTTCATTCTAATTTGTAATACCAATTAATTGAATTTAATGGTAACGTGTATCGATAATATTTTATGTTGTGATTCAATAGTAAATCACTCAACAGTTGATTTTTATAATAATAATTTTAAAAAACTATATCATGGTATTTATGCATAATTTTTTTCTCGTAGGAAAATAATTATATTTACTTATAATAATGAATTTTTAAAGAGTTTATTTAAATTTTATTACATTCGGTTTGAAGTGGATTATTTTAACAAAAACTAAGATAAGTAAAATGTTATTTCAAATAGTTTTGAAAGTGAATAAAAACAATGAATTTTTTGACAAGTTTAAAACATTGTAAGAATAAATGAGTAAAGAGAATATTGTTAAGTGACAATAAAATATACTTTTAACGGTTAAGTCAATTTTTAGCGATGAAAATATTTTTATGATAAAGGTTACTATTTTATTTAGAAATAAAAATGTCTTCAGAGGAAAGACTCAATTATAAAAAATAGTTTTTAAATAAAAAAAATAATTCAACAATAAATGTTAATGTCTTATATATAAAAATAAGAAGATCACGTTTTTATATTTATTATAATAATATTATTAAAATTAATTAATATGTTTAAAATATTATTTGTTTTGAAGTTTTAATCTGTTATAATTTTATTTTTTTAAAAATATTTCAATAAATTAAAAAAAATATATATATATATATATAAATTACTTTTATTTCAACTTCAAAAATAACATGAAAGTCGTAAATATGGTGAAATACATTATATAACCTTAATTTTGTAAAGAATATTATTGAAGATGATAGTTATAAGTGAAAAGTTTACAAAAATATTCTCACCTTTTATTTATTTACACGAGGTTGATGTTAGTATTTGGCCTTTGAAACGTGATAGGGCTCATTGGCTAAGAAAAATGGACTTCCTCACCAACAAAATCTTGAGCTACTGAGTGAACTTGGAAAATTGGAAATAGCCAATCATGGGATTACATGCTATAATATAATAACAGAGGGGCATATTAGAAAATCCAAGAGTATGTTAAACTATTAGGTGACAAGCTTAAGCAAGGTGAAATTAGACAAAAATGATAATTTTTTATGGTGAATCGAGACAAGGAAAAGTGAGGAGAAATGATGGTGCAACGACACGTGTGAAGCAGGGTGATGCACCTGGACACACAATTAGTATTTAAGAAGCATAATCCAAGGAATGAAACATAAAATATTAACGTTAGTGAGTGTTTTTAAAAGTGAAAAGTACAAGATCCCCAATGGGCATTCCCCAGGTGTTGGACTTGTTACCCCTTTCGGGGATGAGGACAGATAATTGTGAATTTTGATTAAAAAATGATTTAATTGGATACTATTTTTGGGTATTGCGGTGAATTAGATATTGTTGTTATGATGTGTTGGAACGTCATCTTTGGACAGGTGTTCCCTCTTACATTTTTTTATTCCAACCCATCCTCCCTCGTCAACTTATGCTGGATATCTCAATTTTCTATTTTTAATTGCCAGACAAAAATATAATAATATTTTATTTATGAAAATATTAATGTAAAATTTCACATGTTATTAGCATTAAAAAAATATAATTTATTATTAAAATAACTAAAATATTAATTATTTGAAATAATTTTTTATTAAAAAATTCTAAGTAACATAATAATTTGTTTAAAAATTCAATTAATCTATAAAAATTATAGTAAAAAAAAAAGTGATATAACACGTTATATCATATGTGATATAACACGATATAAGTGATAAATTTGTTTAAAAATTTTATATTATAACAAAATCAATTGTTTAAATATGATATAACACGTTCTATATTTTATTAATATAAAAATAATTCATATAAATTTCTCTAATCAAATATAGACTTAATAAATTATTTTTTTATAATTAATTTATATGAGATAAAAAAACTCTCATAAAATTTTACATAAACTAAAAATACCATATTATTATATAATGAACTGATTTTATAAAATTAAATTAGATATTTTATTTTATTTTAAATATAAATAAACATATTTATAAATATTTTAAAATAAAAATATTTTTTTATCAATTAAAACTAGAAATATCGATATGAATTTGAAAAAAGGAACTCAATATTTAAATTCAAATTGAAATAAAAAAATTATAAAATTTTTAATTATTAAATATTGAAGAGAGTTAAATAACTCAAATTATTAAATTAGTGTAATAGGTTGATATTTTCTTAATCTTTAATAGTTTGAAATATGTCACCCATAAATTTAAACATGTAAAGAAACATATATTCAATGAATTAACATATTTAATTCACCAATTTTTGTAATACATGGAGTCAAATTCTAATATTTTTATCTTATAAAGGAAATATTAACTGATTCATTTCTAAGTTAATTTTTTATGTACTTATCTGTATTAGTCAGGTTAACATGTTCGGACATTCTAAATTAAAACTAATTTATATATAAAGAAATTCTTTTATATTGTTTTTCTGAATTTTATATTTTTAATTTATACATTATATTTTAATTTAAAAAAAATATTTCTATTATTTTAGTAATACTTGCTGAGAATTTTACCTTAATATATATTATTATCATCAGTGAATGACAATGGGAACACATTCATATTTGGCTATTTCAATTACATATCAATACAGTTTAATAAATGTTTTATTATCTGCCTTAAAAAATTAAACTCTAAAACTCAAGTTTTTTTTAAATAAAAAAAAAAAATGTTGTTAGCGTGATCTGTTTTAGCTCTTTAATTTATGCCTTATCTATCGAAAACAAAGGGCTCTTTATTCTTTATTCCACATTCCTATACAATTCTTTTTGGTATTTTAATCTCAAAAGTCTATTGTTGATGAAGTGTTAGAACCTCAATAACTTAACCTTAGATGGATGAATCATTTTCCGAGGTTTACTGAAAAGAAGAAGAATTAATTAACACCATCAAGCTTAGTAATAATGTTGCCGTTATTTTAATCTAACAATAACATTAAAAATGTAATATCCGTGTGTGGTACGGATCGATGATTATATAATAAAGCAAAGAACATATAATATATATATATATATATATATATATATATATATATATATATATATATATATATATATATATATATATACTTGTACTACTAAAACACTTTGTTTACACAGCTAAGCATGTGTGCCCACTCAACCAAATTTTTTAAAAAACTAAAGGTGAAAAAGAGGATCGTATGTGATTTCGTGTGTTTAACATTTTTTTGTGTGTAATTTGTTCTTTTTGGGATGTCCTTTCATCATAGATTAGGATCAAGGTTTTGCCATTGTTGCGGGGACAATTGAGAGTATTTAATTGTTTAATATGATGCACATATTATTGTGGGTGTCTTCTAGAAATCTATTTCTTAATGACATCAAACTTTCACACTCGCCAATTAACTCTGCACTTTGATCGATACTTGTTTTTTCATATGGAACAAGCTTTTACAAGATCGTGTTCTCTTCATCAACATGCTATTCAAATTGTTAATGGAAAATGATCAGAATTGAATCTTAAAAAGCAAGACGTTAAAAAGGCCTAATCATATCGCGTTGTGTTTGAAGGAATTACTACCAGAAAACAAAGCATGAAAGTGGAGAAAAGAGATATGAATATTAAAATTTGTAGTGAAGATTTGGAGAGTTGGAAACTTAGAATAGAAAAGTGATGTGGTTTTTTAATTGAATACCAATATATATACCACTCTAGAGAACATATTATTGTCCTCAAATGGTGAGGACCAAGTTAACAATTTTAGAATGATATCATGATCTCTAACACACTCACAAGCATTTAGCTAACCATAAATAGTATATGCATGATGAGTTTATTTAAACCCTTTTCAAAGTCCACTAACGCTACCCAACCTTCAGCATAAGATGACAAATCATCAAACTATGGACACTTTTTACCAATAGATTTGATAAATTCTACCAATATTTTCTCTAATATTTTAAAATTCCCAAGCTAACTTGTGTTTCGCCATCTTCAATTCTATTAAATTCAAATTCTGCTGAAAAGGAA